ACATCTCGATAACTTTTGTATAAAGAAAAAGAGACACAGCTCTTTTATAGTATCCCTCTAGATCAGTATTCACTCTTTTTAGACTGATGGCACTTTAAAAATCTCTGGCATTTTTTGATCATCCGAATTTAAAAACTTATAAAAATAAACTTATAAAAATAAATAAAAAAAGTTAAAATGTGTTAAATGAATCAAAATTATTTTAGTTGATAAACATTAGTACTTAAACAATAAAAAACGAATTTTCAACTAAAAATACATTTTTTTAAAAAAAAGATCACGGGGGTGATCCAGGCTGTCAGATTATCTCCCAATACATTAAAATTAGTTAATAAAGTAGTGAGATTGCAAAACAATTTAAGCATGTGTACAAAATATGAACACTTAATATATTTTAAAATCAAGACCCATGATTTTTAAAATGGGTCTTAACTACAAATAAAGAAAAAAAATACAGATATAACACATTTTCTGATCAAACCATAGAACACTTTCAAGCAAGCACAGAAATTAAAATAAATAATCCTATCTAAAGCAAGCATAAAATACTTAGGAGATGCTTAGGAGATATAGGAATACTTAGGAGATATACTCTTCTTAAAGAATTGAAGAAGATGTACTAACCATGATAGTATTCCAATCTACAGATAAAGTATAATACAGATATAACACATTTTCTGATCAAATCATAGAACACTTTCAAGCAAGCACAGAAATTAAAATAAATAATCCTATCTAAAGCAAGCATAAAATACTTAGGAGATGCTTAGGAGATATAGGAATACTTAGGAGATATACTTAAAGAATTGAAGGAGATGTACTAACCAGGATAGTATTCCAATCTACAGATAAAGTATGAGCCTCTTCATGCAACTACAGGAGGAAGAAGAAGATATAATAGATAGGGATGCCAGTTTATGTAACAATCGCTTTATTTTTATAACTAGTAGATGCAGGAGTATGGTTCAGCGCACAACTAACAATGCAAGAGTAAATTTCACGGATTAAGTTTTATAACTAAATTATTACATGCGTACTCAATTATTACTTACGTAACTAACACAAAAGCTTGTTTAATTGTACATCTGATTATCCAATATCATTAAAATATTTTTTTATTCAGAACTTATACGATTCAGGGGTGATTGTGAGCCCAACTCAAAAATCCTGAAATTTTCTTGGGTGAAATCATTAATGAAGCATTTCAAAAAATTAATGTCTTAATAAATTTAATTCATTCATATTCTCAAAACATGAAATTCCAAATCAATTATAGGCAGACCAATTTAAATTAATAATTAAGTGTATGTTTAATTTTATCTCTAATCACTTTTATTATTCTACCAGAAAAAATATTTACAAATGAAAGAAATGCCAAGTATAAATTATAGTTCTAATACTTTTAAATAAAATATACAAGAATTTTTATACATTAATGCGATCAGTGATTCCTTAAAATTTCCAGAAACTTGGATTTCCAGAAACTTCCAGAACGCAATTGGCGAAAAATCTGGAAATCTAAATTTTTTCCGGAGCACAATCATCTCTGACCAATACTATATGCTTTTAAAATATAACCCTTTCCTCTATAATCTCTAATATCAATATTTTTTATTAGTTTATTATTTATAATATAAACCTTTAGGGAGAGTTCTTATCTATCAAAAGGTTTCTCAAGATTGAATTGAGTTAGCATGTCTCATATACTTGAGAATAGATGTTTAATAATTGTAGTGGTAATTACATCTCAAACCTATCTAATTATCGAATAATATGTTAACGTGTCTGACTGTGAAGTAAATGGTTCGGAATTCGAAACACGCTCAGCGTATAGATGTTTCTTTCTAGGTGTTATCCTTTGTTGTATGATGTGTGAAAGGGTAATGATGCTTCCCTCCATGACTAAGGTTCATAGGTGGCCACCAGGTAACATTAAATAAGCAACAATAAATAAGCAACATCTTTCGAGGTAAAAAATTGTAGTAGTATTTACGTCTCAAACCTATTTAATTATCGAATAATATGTTAATGTGTCTGACTGTGAAGTAAATGGTTCGGAATTCGAAACACGCTCAGCGTATAGATGTTTCTTTCTAGGTGTTATCCTTCGTTGTATGATATGTGAATGGGTGTGGGTAATGACGCTTCCCTCCATGACTAAGGTTCATAGGTAACCACCAGGTAACATTAAATAAACAACAGTTCCAGCATCTTTCGAGGTAAAAAATAAAAAGTTCAATGCCAGCCGTTAGTAAAAACATTGAGCAAAATGTTGTTTAATTCTAGCACAATCTGAGACAGAAGATCCGATTCTGAATCTACATAATAACAGCTCAGTGCTTTTATTTATTGATTCATTAAAGCTGAATATTTACTATAGAACTACATAACAGTATTGTAATGTAATTTATAAATATGCAGAGCATGTAAAATAATATATAAAAATTCAAATAAGTTAAATTAAAATGGGTGAATACTAAGTTTTGTTAAATTAAAAACTATAACAGGGTGCATAGCCAAATCTTTCAACAAAAAATAAGCACCTATTAAGTACTTTTTAAGCACTCAAAAAATATTTTTAATCACTATTCTTTAACAAAAGGCAAAATAATTTTCAAAGATTTTACATGATAAAATAATCAAGAAATTGTTTGGTTCAATATCAGAGGGTGGAAAATGAAGCCTGAAATTGAGAATATCTTGCAAATTGCAGCAGAGCTGCACATGAGAGTGCAATAATCTCACTGAACCCAGCTCAGTAGACGCACATGCGGACTCGCAAGTATTCCATGAAACATGTAAAATGATTGGCGCTTTCATACGCTACGAACCGAAGGTACGTCGAAATACATTGCTTGAATAAATCGCAAAAACGTAGAATAGAACACTGTGAAAACCACACTTTTACATAATATGTGGTGAAAATCGACATGGTGAAGAAAAAAAATCTCATTTTGAAAAAGGGAAAATTAATCACTTTCTAAAAATGCTACGCATCATGTATAACTTTAACCTGCTTTTTTTTATTTGAGAATTTTACATGATAAATACAGAAATTTTCATTCCATAAATTTAAGAAAAAGGATAGAGCTGTAGTAGTATAATAACACAAATCATTTATTACTGTTTTTATCTTCTCAACAGTCAGATTCTCAATAACTAAAAGTGGCATTTTCAATGGAAAATTCAATTATTCAAATTTTACTTTTTCGATTAAGAAAAATTGAGCTGACTTTTTAAGTATCTCTAATTATTTACTCAAAGTCAATTTGATTTTTCATTTGAATCCCACTTGCAATAACTTTTTTTTTAGCCAATCTGAAATATGGTAATAAAAAATGCCTGATAATTTACACCAACACTGATTAGAAAAAATCATTAATGGATAGAAAGTTCGTAAAAATATTTATAAAATAAGTATGAAAAAAACTACCACCCAGTAATTAATATAAAGGAGAAGATTTCTTGTGAGGTAAAAGAAATTCCAAAATAAATTGAGTGTTAGAGTTGTTTAACTGTGTAATCAAAGATAATATAAAACATGATATAGTTTCATTGAAAAAATAGCATTAATTTGGGTCGCGATATTATATTGCAAATGTTAACACTCATATAGGAGTGTTAATTTATGTGAAAATGAGTTTTGATGATAAATGGTATATTTCTTTATTGTATTAAAAAAATTGATAAAAATCCAAACATGATAAGGGAAAAGTCAAGCAGCATACATAAATGATTGTGTATTCCATTTCTCATGAGAGATTATCAGCATTATTTTATTGATAATTATTCAATTTTGATGATTGTAACTGAGAACCATGAAAGCTTTTAAAAACAATAACGTGCAGCGAAATTCAAGCAAAAGACTTAAATGATCCAGTATTCATCGTTCAAGACGAAAGTTCTCAGTAGCGTTTTATTATCAGTTATTCAAGGAGACAATTTTAATGATTCTAATTGGTGTTCCGAAATGATGTAAATACAGTTAGAGTTGCCTCTCAAATCAGGAAAAAAAATTCTTTGTATTTTCTCTGAACATATTGCACGCAAGATAGTAAGAGGAAACATAATTACTGTGCTCTTGTGCACGCTATATTGGACTAACTATACCAGTTTTAATTGCTGGGAAAACTTAAAGAAAAGGAACATACTTAAACAAGTAATCTAAAAAAAAATTTTAAAGTCAATTCCTACTTAGATCAGAAGAAGAAAAATTTTATTTTAGTTACTTTTTATTATATAATTAAAATTTTTTCTCCCACGAAAACTAAAATTAATTAATTAAATTAATTTAATAAATTAATATTTAAAAAAACTGCATTCACATCAAGTGTCTTTTCACTACAAGTTTAAAAAAATGTATTTGAATTTGAGTGGATGAATAAAAAGTTTTTTATAACGATTGAAAATTTGAAAAAGATATAGGGAGAGTATGAATTAATAAGTGGGAATTGGAAGAGAAAAAAAGGCGCATGGTGTCGGACAACTATTAAAGTACAAATTTGGAGATGTTGTTACCAGGTAATGTTATTTATTGATTTGATCGTACATAGTGAATATAAAATAATTAAGCATTTAAATGTACTCAATAAACTATTTTTTTGTTCAAATAGAGCTATAAGTTAGAAATTATCACTGATTTTATTTTTAAAATACGTAAAAAAATGCATTTGAACTTGAGTGGATAAATAAAAAGTAGTTTATAAATTATTTAAAAATTGAACGAGATATAGGGAGAGTATAAACTTACAGTAGAAATTGACAAAAAGAAACAGCTGAAGATACTTCAATAATGCTGCAGTAAATTAAACAGTTTAGTACAGTTGAAATATCCTTAAGAGTGGTCACCATTTTTTAAAAGACGAAAATAAGAAACAAAATTCCCTGTTATTTTAGGTGATTTTTAAATTCACTGTATTTTCCCGGTTTTCTCTGTGGATTGAGAATCCTGGCAATGAAGTGAAGGAAGAGTCATGCAAGATGCATAAATAAGTCTGCAGTCCTTTGAGACGATTTTAATGATTATTAATAGACATTCCTGAATGCTCAAAACATGAAATGCAGCGAGATTCATGCAACTTTTACAACTGATTATACAACCTTCAATTGATTCATGATGGCAGCTTCTTCTTCAACAGCCCTCCTCATACTCTCATCCACTGTCAGGCCATTCAGCTCGTGAGAGATTTCATGTGCACTGCTTGCTAAAGCAGAACTAGTAGAGCTCAGAGCAGACACTGCACACTGAACTAAATTTGTCCTAAAAGGTTAATGAAATTTCTTAAACTATGTAATATTTTTTCTTTGTGTAAATAATCAAAGCTTATGAACTAATAATATAATATTTATAATTTAAAGAGTATATTTTTTTAAAATCATAAATAATAAAAAAAAAATGATGTAGAGGGAGAAACTACATAAATGATAAGACCAGTAGCCAGATTTTTCAACAAAAAATAAGGACCTTTCAAGCACTCAAAAAAATTTTTTAATCACTTTCCAAAAAAAGAAAAAAAAATCATAATTAGGATCTGCGCAGTACTAAAAATTTTTTTTTCTATTGTTTAAAGTTCTTAATTTATAAACTAGAAAAAAATTCAAAATCAATAAAATTCAAAAAAATTTTCAAAAACTTTACATATGATTAGGACTGGGCTATAAATCGATATATCGCGACATATCGATTTAACGCCTGTATCGGCAGGCCGATACAGCGATGTTAAAGAGTACAATATGATCATTTATGGGTAAGTTATTTTTAGTCGTTTATTAGTTACGTAAATATTGAAAGCACTAGCATATTTCTCAAAAAAATTTTATTAAAAAGTAAAGCATTATTTTAACATGAATCTTACTATACAAAAAGAATTCATCAGGATATACATATTAAAAAAATATAATAATATGTATATCTTCAAGATACTTCCAGTAAGATATATTTTGTATAGCAATTTAATTATAATAATATTAAAATCAAAATTGAATTTCAATGAATTTTCACTAATATTCAATTATAAAGTGAAGTTTAGAGACTAATACAATATCAAAGACTTTTTATGACTGACACTAAATTGTATATAATAATAAAAAAAGACAAATGTAGTATTATACGTTCAAACAAATATGTAGTTACTTGGCAACTGTTTGACTTTTTTTTCCTTTCAAATGTGTAAGGTGATTTTCCATTTCTTCTAGCAAAGTACACGGAGCCTAAAAACAAAGTAAATTGTTGTAATGCATAGTATAGTTTAAATTTAACTATTAATTATAGGGTGGGCTCAAACACTCAGAAAAAAACATTCCACGATTTTTTCGAATCTGATTATATCAAAATTCCTTTCCTTTCTGTAACTGATGAAATGAATTGGATAATTAATTTTCAGCTTTGCTCATTCATATGCATAAAGCAAAAATTATGAAATACGTTTACTTGCTATTGAAAATAAACAGTATTTTAAAAATGACAAGGACAAAACTAAATAAACATATATAAAACGATTACTTTGCTGTGGCTTAGGGGATAGAGCGCTTGTTAGCCGGGTATGAATACCACATAGCGATGGTTGGAATTCGAATTCTGAATTTCGGCTCATGCCAAACACACCGATGACGTTAAATATCCTGGATGGCAGACGGATCATGGGTTAAAGTCCCATTGCCATTAGGCTAACCATGGGAGGTTTCCGTGGTTTCACTCCATGCAACACAAATGCGGGTTAGTTCCATCAAAATAACTGATCTAGGAATTCATTTGTCTTCTGGCTTGGGTTCAAAATTGCAAGGATAAGGAGTTTAACATAGGTAATCTTAAACTTAAAATTGGGTCGGCTGTTGAACGACAATTCAAATAAAATAAGAAAAAAGCGAAGAAAACTTATAGTGAAATATTGCAATTTAGAAAGCATTACTGCTCGTGTGTTTAAAGCGGATTTTGCTATTTAAATTTCATTTTAGAAACACTTTACAGTTCAATCGATTTAAAGCATGGCATTATGACTTACCTTGGTTAGATCAGGTATACTGCCCTTATCAATGCCAACACTCTGTAAAATAAACATTTAAAAATTCCATCAAAATTTTGCAAAAACAGAAAAATTGGAAAAAAGATTTAAAAAAAAAAGAAATTTGAGAAATTAAAATAAAGAAATACATAATTCAATATAAATATAATATTTAATAAAAAAAATTTATAATTAACAGAAGTAGCATTATTAAATATTTTTCAACTACTGGCTACACTCTTTCTGAAAGACAAACAAGTATATACTTTGTGGCTGGTTGAGCACGGAATTAGGTTGAGGGTTCGATACCCGCCGGCGAAAGACTACTTGGGTGGTAAATGGTGACAGACGCATGTTAAATCTATCAGGTCACAAAGTCCTCCATGTTACCATAACTAGTCATACCTCTGGGGGAACTGATCCAGGAGTTTCCTTGTCATCTGGATTGGTTCAAAATTATAAGGCAACGGAGTTGAACATTACTAGTCCTAAACCCAAAATTAGGTGGGCTGCTCAACCACAGCTATAAAATAAAATAATATTGTACTTGTTCTCTCAAAGAAGGCAACATTTCTCAAAGTATTTGATCAAGGAGTTCACTTGTCTCTTCAGATTGGGTTCAAAATTTTGAGGCTATGGAGTTGAACATGAATAGTTGTAAAACCAAAAAATTGAGTTAGCTGTTCAACGACAGTATTAATAATTTTAAACGACAGTATTAATAAAATTATTTTTTAGAGAGCTGTGGTGGCTCAGGGGATAGAGTGTTCGCCTCCCAATAAGGTGAACCAGGCCAGTGATGGCCGGTCAATAGACATTTTGCACCCAGTGCAACAACCACAGAGCTGACATAAAACATTCTCAGTGTTAAACGGATCATGGGTTAGAGTTCACTTATCGTCTCGCTACCTGAGAGTAGTTATCCTTCTCATGTAACGTAAATGCAGGTTAGTTCCATCAAAGTCCTTCATGAAGGCAAATTTCTAGCAATACTCTGGATTGGGTACAAAATTACAAGGATATGTAATTATAGTTCAATGACTATTTTAAAAAAATAATATTGTAATAAATTAAAAAATGTCTTTAAAATGTTAGTTATTTTTCCTAAATAAAAAAAATTTATTATGCAATTAAAAAAGTTATCATTAATTTACATAGTGAAAATACAAAACCTTTAGATTGGGTACAAAAATGAAGAAAAAATTTTATCCTTTCATTTTTGACCTTGGTAGAAAGACTTAACAAAATGGACTTAAGATCAATGGTTTGAGAAACATCCCCGAGAATGATCCAAAGGCATGCCATCGCAACTTTGATCTTCTGCTTTGGTAGCCAGACAACCTGCATGCAAAGTTCATTACTTTACAGTAGAACAGTCTAACAAGGACTGACACCGCACACCCTCGGTCCCTACACAGGTTGATCAAAGTGGTCACCCATCCTCTTACTGACCGCAGCCGGTGATGCTTAACTTCAGTGTTCTGCTGGGATTCGTGTCTTTACAATCACTGAGGGAGAATTTCATTTCTGACACACTAATATTATAAATGAA